TGCTCAGTTTTCATCCTGTTGGTACACTCCGGCTGCTCAGTTTTCATCCTGTTGGTACACTCCGGCTGCTCAGTTTTCATCCTGTTGGTACACTCCGGCTGCTCAGTTTTCATCCTGTTGGTACACTCCGGCTGCTCAGTTTTCATCCTGTTGGTACACTCCGGCTGCTCAGTTTTCATCCTGTTGGTACACTCCGGCTGCTCAGTTTTCATCCTGTTGGTACACTCCGGCTGCTCAGTTTTCATCCTGTTGGTACACTCCGGCTGCTCAGTCATTTCTTCATTCACAATATTTTAGATTTGTATGGGGATGATTATTGTTGTGGATTTGTGGGTTATGACGTAGTGTAATTTGGTATGTCGTTACCAGCGTTTCGCAGGGACATACCGCCTCCAGTTTTAGGGTAAAAGCGAAGAGACACGCGGCATTCTTCTCCGCAGAACTGGTACATATTTTCACGTGTATGGGGGTACGCGTGACGAAAATAACGGGTTTTAGTTCGGATGATTGGATTTATTGGCACTTCGGTTACAATATCTCTTAATTACAGTCACTAGAGCGCTATCGCTAATTTATAAATTATAATTCACTCTTACACACGCAATACTCGTCTCCTGGTATGGATCTCAACACAGAAACTATCACTTGAAATCGCCATTAAGTCCTCGTCTCTTCGCCTTCAGTCATTCTGAAACCTAGGAATTCATCTTAAAAAACTTTCTATTACTCACTCCCCCAGTTTACGACTGCCGCAAACAACAGTCGTTGTCACCTATAAACCTTCGGCGCGGACCTACAGAAAACACGTCATGTGGTCGCTATTCACTGTTGTGTGACGTGACCGCCTACGCGGAAATGTGTTTACCAAGTCATTGCCTAGAAACGGGTTGTATAATCCCGTTGTTCTATTGTTGCGTGCGTGTATTACGGGGTGTTCATCGAGCCGTTGCCTGGCAATGCGTTGACATGTCACATGTCAGGCGACCGTAATGTCGGAATGAATACCGTGAACTGCGCACGTTTTATCACTCTTGTTCATGTAAACAAGAATAACACAGGAAACGTACACAGTGTAATCTCAGAAGGAGTGTTCAGCAGACGAGATAAAAGCAGGATAAAATTGATCCTCGAGTATATGTTGCAGTGAGCTCAAACGTTCTTAAGTATTTATGCTATAACGTAAAATAATATTGGTTAATCATATCCGTGAGAGTCGGGACAGCTCAGTCGGTGTAGCGACAGGCTACGCGCTGGAAGGCCGGGGTAAGAGATTTCTATTTACTCCATAGCGTCCAGACCGACTCTGAGGCTCATCAAGCCTCCTGTCTCCAGTGGGTAAAGCGGCAGGGGCGTGAAACTATATCTCCACTCCCCACTTACGCCTCCATGTCATGGTGCTTACAGAATTAAGCACAGAGAGAAAACATTATGTGCAGTCATATATATACGTAGACCTTAAATTCAGCTGACGCTAGAACCGTCTTCGCCCGCTCGAACATTGGAGTAGTGGGTTCGAATCCCACTCGAGGCATGGATGTCTGTGTGCGTTTCTTCCGTGTTTGTGTTGTTCTGTGTGTAGGAAGCGGCCTTCCGACGGGCTGATCCCCCTTCCGAGGAATCGTACCGACTGTGTATAGGATTAAGAAACTGAAAAAGCGGCTAAGGTCGAAAGGGCTATAGACACATAGAGAGAGAGAGAGAGATAAATTCCGGTGGAATGAAGATTCGTTTGTTATCGAGAATAAGAAACTTCGGTGAAGCTTTACTTGCGAAAAATGTTTATCATACGAAGATTAATTGTGAAGTAAAAATACAACGTCCAGAAAATATATTCGTGCAGTTTTTTAATTCGCTTGTAGTACTTTTACAACACACCTCGTATATAAAAATTGTTTTAGCCTCTTCTCTTGTTTCTAAACAATAAAATGAGGCTTATAAGATCATCTTATTGTCTGTGTGTCTGTGTATCCCCTTGAACGTTGCTAGGTTACGGCACGGTAAATACGTTCCTGCGGCAACGAATAAACACGGAATAATAGAAGAACGACGTCATATATTTACCGTCGTGAGTGTTTAAAATTTTTGGAGAGGTGTAACAAAATTCGAGGGCTCAGCTGACACAATTATTCCACGCAATTTATGAAACCCAAGATTTATTGCTCTCCTAACAAGAGCTGGCAAACTCCAAGACTCACGACACGCTAGATTTTACGATGACAGATTTGTAGCCCCCCCCCCTCTCGTTCAGTAGAATCACACCGTGTCGGCTGTCAGTGAGGAGGGTTGCAAACAGAACATATGACGTTCCCTGTGTACGTGTACAACATATAGTGTATTCACATGGCGAATTTTTAGTTATTTCTGCGAACATGACAGTTAAATAAAAAGAAACACAGTGTAACTGAGGATGAGATCAGACAACTCTGATGTACATGCGGGCCGTCCTGTGCATTAGTTAATTGGCCCAGAGAACCGAGATACAACGTTCAAACGTATGCACGTTTCCAAACAGAGAGTCGAGGGCGTATATTTTTCTGCTACTAAATTCGTTTAGGAAAGCATAACTTGGGTATGCAAAATGGGAGCATTTATGTGAATCACTCAGTTAGTATGCGTATGTTAGTGCTGACATTAAATTTTCAGTAGTATGTAAATATATTTTGCCATGTAAATCCATTGCTAGGCAACGCCCGCAACACACACTGGACTAACAATACTGGGGCAGTGCTTTCTGTTCGCGGTGACGCCACACAACAGTGAGTACCGGACACGTGACGTTTTTTCTGTAGTTCCACGACGAGATCATTGCTAGTCAGGAGTGAGCGCGCCAATGGACTGGCTGGATAGCGATCACGTGACGTGTATTTTGTGCATGGTCCGTGCAAAGTGATTATAAGAGGAGTTCGGCAGGACAGTAGCAGTAGCAGTAGACGGAGTTTAGTTGAATTCCGAGGTTCCAAGGTGATTGAACAAGAAATGCCAAGAAGATTTCACAGCGATTTGAAGTGCTAGTTCCTCTGTTGAGATCCGTTGCTAGGAGACGACTCGTGGAAACTGAGAACCCCAGTGTGTGTGCAACGGTGTACAGGAAATTGTGTACATCAGCGATAGTGCTGTAGTAATCGTGATTAAGGGAACTTGTAACCGAAGTGCTAAAAAAATACAATCATCCGATCTGGAACCCGATATTTTCGTCACGCGTACCCCCTTACACATGACAATATTTATAGTCTCTAACAGAAATGAGTACCAGGAATCTACCTGACGGTAAAGGGTGGCCGGCGCGTAAGGCTGACCTCATTGCCAACTGTTAGCCGGTTGTGTAGAGAAAATGTGGGAACCACGACGTCTCACAACCCTATGGGCCTCCATGGCCTGTTACAGGAATAGCTTCACCCTTTTTTACCTTACCTAGGCTTATTATACGCTTAGCTGCTAATCTTATGTTAACAATGTCGACTCGAAAAATCACGATAAATATGTTACATATAATTAATAACTTTGAAATTAATTGGATATAATTTCGGTAGTTGCATTTCCTCCGAGTGGTTTCATCGAAATGATTCAATCCCTCTGTCTCTCCCCTGTTGCATGCGTTAGGCGTTTTATTTCGTTTCAGTTTCTTAATCTTAGACAGACGTTAGGGCTCCTTGGAGGGGTTATCAGCCCGTCGCAAGGCCGAGAGTCACAGAAACACAAAATAAAAACAGACATAAACCCATACCTTGAGTGGGATTCGAACCCACGATCCCAGTGTTCGAGCGAGCGAAGACAGTTCATGCCTTATATCCCGAAGCCATGGTGATCGGCCATCGAAATGACTAGGCAGTGTCGTATTCTGTACACAAGCCGGGATAGTGACGGGTTAGAGGCTGGAGGGCTGTGGTTCGGTTCTCAGCAGGGGTGTTTTTCCCTGGCGTCTAGACCGTCCCTGGGATCCACCCAGCCTCTTATCCAATGGGTACCAGAGGTTCTTTACGCGGGGGTAAGAAGGCCGGGTTCTGAAGCAGACCACTCACCTCCATCTAGTGCCGCGGTCAAGGGAATTGGTGCTGTTCCTCCACTCCGGACGTCTTCATGGTCTGATGCTTACTTAATTAAGTCCAGCAATAACTTGACCTTTACCTTACAGTCTGGGAGGACAGCATCTCATTGTTTTGCATTAGTTAAGAAGAGGGATTACCTTTTACCATTGAAGTCCATAAAAATATTTACAGCACGGATGTCGGTAGGAAGTAATTGACTGATGGAACTAGAAACGAGGCCGCACCACAGCTGAAGCGGTTAGTCGCTGGCTTCCCACCGCGGCGGCCCGGGTTCCAGCCCGGGTCTGATAAAGTGGGATTTGTGGTGGACAAAGTGGCGCTGGGGCAGGTTGTCTCCGAGTAATTCGGTTTCCCCTGCCAATCTTCATTCCACCAATTGCTCCATCATCATAATCACCCGGGGCAGGCTACTACAGGCCAACCAGTGGCCGACGTGCCGAGTGGACCCAGTTTGACTCCACCCCCGACTAAGCGAATAAAAAACTAGAAGCATTCAAGGAGCCGGGATAGCGCAGTCGGTGTAGCGATTGGCTACGGGCTGAACGACCGAGGGGTAGGAGTCCCAGTCCCCGTGGAGTTAAGTATTTTCTCTTCTCCACGTCGTCCAGACCGGCTCTGGGCCCCACCCAACCTCCTACCTAACATATACCGGGGGCTGTTTTCCCGGCGAAAAGCGGCCGGCGCGTGAAGCTGACTACACACTAACTAGTCAAGAAAATGTGGATCTATACATTCACTCCCCCATACACCATCACGGCGTAGTGCTTAATTAGTTAAACACAGGGACAATTTTACCTTACCTTACAGTCCATAAAAGTACAATTACAGCACGGACGTCTCTGGAAATAAGTAACTGAATGAACTGGAAGCATTCAAATGGCCGTCTTGTAACATTTGCAGTCATTCCAGTAGTTAATGCAATGAGGCTTCAATCAGCCAATCGATCAAACTCACCCGTCAATAAGTGGCACTTCAGTCAGGATCTGCCTAGCCACTTCCAGGCGCTCTCTACCGGAAGTGACGCTCTCGACCCGGAAGCCTGCTGTCATGCGACCTGTCTCACGTGTCAGAAGCGTCAAGACGAGAAGCGCCACTTGCAGATGGCTCTCCGCACAACGACCTGCCATCTGGTGACACAGACAGTAACAAATTGTTATTTAATTCCTGTCCCCATAGCCAGTCTATCAAAATATCATTCTGTAACATCAGTTGTCTCTTTATGTGCCCGGCGTGGGGGTCACTTTACGTCATTGCCAGTAGCTAAACTATAGTCCTGTGACATGTGATGATATCGGATTTATTGAGCTCTTAAACAACACGTAACTATATAATCATACCGAGTTATAAACTCCAAATATCACTATAAACACAGCACACATAAAATCTTCTTAGGCTTTATTAGCCGTTGCTTTGTAGCGGCTTCCATTAGGGGTTTGATAATCGTATTTATTTGGCTCTTAAAGAACTCGTAACTATATATAACTACGATAATCATACTGAGTTACACACTCCAAATATTACTATAACTACAGCACACATAAAATCTTCTCAGGCTTTACTAGCCGTTGCTTGGAAGCGGCTTCCAACAGCAGACGTTCCCCTTCCTCTGGGTTCCCGAACTGTCACCAACCTCAGTTACCAGCTTTCTCCGGTCCGAGTCCCTTGGGGCTCGCGACCATATTTTACTGCCCCAGACTTAAGACTTCCATTATTGCGTGTTCTCTAGTTGCTGGGGAAACAACGTGTCCACAGAGCTGTTCCTTAGCAACAGCTGTTATACTGTCGCCTGTTTACAAAACTGTTATTTGGCAATGGGTCTACATGTCACATTATATAACGTCGAATGGTAGGATTAGAGACGAATGATGGATTAAAACGGATTTGGAAGGGAAGGGTCGTGGTCTATTCCCGGCATGTATCTGGAGGGAATGAAGAAAACCACGAGAAATGTCCATTAAGGTAGCCGATGTCACTATGTCTGTGTTCGTGTAAACGAAAGACAGAAAGTGCATATTTGCTTCAGTTTACATAAACTCAAGGTCGCGATATCTATTTCAATGGAACACTGAAATTACAGCTGAACCTATAATGTTTGGAATCTCAGCTCCAACATTATGTGTAACCTAAAGCAAGGCCGGGCCATAGCTCAAGCGGTTAGTCGCTGGCTTTCCACCGCTGCGGCCCGGGTTCGATCCCGGGTCTGGTCAAGTGGGATTTGTGGTGAACCAAGTGGCGCTGGGGCAGGTTTTCTCCGAGTACTTCGGTTTCCCCTGCCAATCTCCATTCCACCAACTGCTCCACAATCACCCTCAACTATCATCTGGGTCTGGTACAACAGTCCAAAAGTGGCCGCAGTACAAGGGACTTAGTCCCACCCCACTAGCAATAAAAGTAACCTAAAGCAATCGAACAGTGACATCCATAAACTTATAAGAACTGCATCCAATTCCTTAGACCACAAAATGGACTAGGGGAACAATAATTTGCTGATAACAGTGGCCGCGCGTTCTAAGTCATGAACAGTTCTTCGCTAGCTGAAATACTGGGATCGTGGGTTCGAATCCCATTTAAGACATGGGTGTCTGTGTGTAGGTGGCGCGGCCTTGCAACGGCTTGATCCCCCGTCCAAGGAGTCCTAGCGACCGTGTAAAAAGATCAACAGGCGAAAAAGCGACCAAGGACCAGCAAAGGGCTGTAGAGCCATAAATACAGAGATTAAGAAAGTGAAGTGAAACGAAGCGTTTCGCGGATGCCATGAGCTCCCAAAGTGGGAACAACAGGAAAGATATATATATATAGCTGAAGTAGATTTGTGATTCTCCCGGCTGTGAATATGAAGACTACTGCCGTCTGTGATGTGACGCCGTGTAGTTTTGCAGAACGTTCACAGTGTTTATCGGAGAAATGTTCTGCCTTCATTAAGACACAATTATACTCTAAATATGGTGACAGCAGCTTCCACCGAAACGTCGCTAATATCCTATCAGACTACTCGGAATCACATCCGAGACAGCAGCGATTTTCGTTTCGGAGAAACCTCTTCCGTTCTTGTTTTTACTTTACACAGAAATCTTAATAATGACAGAAAGGACGATGATGACTGAGAGAGAGAGATTTGATGACTTAACAATGATTGTGGCACACCTTGTGTTTACCCTTCCTATTTGTTTTCGTGTGCTACGTCACACTTTCTGTAATTCATGCTTATGTACGAGCCAAGTTTGGTTTAAATTGGTCCCAGATGGATGTAATAGAAACACAGACACTTGGTCACAAGAACTTAGGGTCCCCATGGAAATCAGATGGATGGAACGTGTTTACCTCTTTAGCTCCTAGGGGCTGGCATGCTGAGAACCTGGACTAGCCGCATGTCGCCCGTAATAAGGGCAGAGGACCCCGTAGGATGTCTGGTGCTATAACATCTGGCCCGGAAGCCGTGTTTCACTCTATGGCTCTCACATCCCTCACAGGTAAACGCAGAGAAGCAGGGGAACTTGGCGTTATGTAAGAATGTAAAGGGAGAACATCTAAATAGGTCACAAACGGAAGTAAAACTGCTGTGCTTGACTAATTAAGCACTACGCCATGAAGGTGTATGGAGGAGTGGATGTATAGATCCATATTTTCTTGATCTCGGCACTAGCTGGAGGTTAGTGGTCAGTTTGAAGCCCCGGCCGCATTTCATGGAACCCAAAGTTTCATTACCGTGTTCATAAGAGCCCTTCAATGATCCCAATCCTGAGTCAGATCAATCCAATCCATACCATCCCATCATATCTCTCTAAGATCCATTTTAATATTGTCTACCCACCTACGTCTTGGTCTTCACAGCTGACTCTTTCGTTCTGGCTTTCCCACCAATATCCTATATGCATTCTTCTTATCTCCCATTCGTGCTACATGCCCTGCCTATCTCATCCTATCCCAGAATCTAGTACTCTAATTAATGCTGCACAGTTAATGATGATGATGAAAGTAACAATTTTTTTATTGCTAGTGGGGTGGGACTAAGTCCCTTGTACTGCGGCCACTTCTGGCCTATTGTACCAGCCCCAGATGATAGGTGAGGGTGATTGTGGAGCAATTGGTGGAATGAAGATTGGCAGGGGAAACCGAAGTACTCCGAGAAAACCTGCCCCAGCCCCAATTTGTCCACCACAAATCCAACTTGACCAGACCCGGGATCGAATCCGGGCCGCCGCCGAGGGAAGCCAGCGACTTACCGCTTGAGCTATGGCGCGGCCCAAGTTACAGTGTATCTAGGTGACTTCATGATACACGGTCTTTACTGAAAGCCGATGGCCGCTCGAGTGATATAAAGGATTCCCAATCTTTAATGGAATCTAAAAGCTCGTTACCGTGTTCTCAGAAGTCAGTTCCTACCCTGGCAACATACTGTAACGTGTAGGAGTAAGCGCGTGACTTATAAGACGGGGGTTTGGATTGGATGATTGAATTTATTGACACCTTTGTACATTCAACGCAGACTATAGGTGACATTATGCTATCGCTATTCTGCACACTTTACAGATCAGTGTTACACACGCACTAGTGTTCTCAGTCCTCACTAGTTGTATCCTGGCAACGGATTTATAACTGTCTCACTGTAATTTCAAATCACACATGAAGTATTCCTTGCACAGCCTAATTCCTTTCTTCCCACTTCTTTCCAATCACCTTGGACTGCCATTTCTAGAACTTGACCCAATTCTTGACAACTAACGAACACAAACCACCTACTTATAATTTCTCGACGGATTAAGTAGAAGATACAACCTCTCTATTGTTAAGAAGGCTTGTTTACTAATCCGTTGCCTAGCAATGGACGCCCTATTGTTGCGCGCGTACGCTTCCGCGGTAATGTTTTTATCGAGTCGTTGGCTAGCAGTGGATACTGACGTGACAATATTTATCAAATAATTAATTTTAATATTATCCTCCCATCTAAAGTTTTCGAACATTTTAAATATATTTTTTTTAGTATTAGTAAACATGTCTGTATGTATGTATTTTGGCAACATTGGAAGCATCTGAATGAACCGGATCGTATTGAGGATGTTTAGGAACTGCTCACGGCTGCACAGCAACGTTCGGCTATGGCGTCCTTACTGAAATCTCTCCAGGAACCAGGATTGGTTCGTTGGTGATGCAGAAACAGAAGGAGGTTGCTCGAATACAAAGTTCCCAAACTGCACTGTTGTCTGTTAAGTTCCAGTTTCTAATGCGGAAAGTTGGCTTTATTGGGAATTAAGAGAGAGCAGGATTTGGAAGTTGAAGTACTTTCAGGGACACTTTAACCCGTAAACTCACTTTAAACTTAAAATGGCTTTTTAAGGGACCCGAAATAAACCCTAAAAGTACAGTAAAATCCACGCAGAATGTAACAGTGAGACTGCAGGTTCTTACGGCAGTGAACATTAAAGTTGTGTTCTGGAATGTGACGATGTGTAGCCTGTAAATCGTTATAAATTTTTCGAAGGAACCTGCTGTCTCTATCTTCAGGGCAGGTTTTGTGGTCGTCTTAATATTTGAATCATTTTACTTTATGAGGATCACAGGTAAGTCCGCTAAACTCCTTTTTTTTTTAATTCGCTTAGTGAGGGGGGGGGGGTCCAGTTGGGTCCACTCGGCACGGCGGCCACTGATTGGCCTATTGTACCTTCCCCGGATGATTATGATGATGGAGAATTTTGTGGAATGAAGATTGGCAGGGGAAACTGAAGTACTCGGAGAAAACCCGCCCCAGTTCCACTTTGTCCACCACAAATTCCATTTGACCAGACACGGGATCGAACCCGGGCCGCCGCGGTGGGAAGCCAGCGACTAACCGCTTGAGCTATGGCGCGGCCTTTACTCATTCTTAATTCCTGCATCAGATAAAATAAAGATAAATATACCAGAATCCCATTGGGAATTGAACATCGGCCATACAGACATTGTAAATATAACGTAACTATAGATAAAACGTATAAGATATTTACACACTATTGTTTGTTGTAAAATGTTTTCTATGGGAAAAAGGGAGCGTATAGAAAAGTACTGATGAAAGAGGAAAAAATATGATGAAGGCGCACTGAGTCCCCAGTGGGCCATAAAATGAGGCTAACTCCGTATTACGTGGAAATAT